TTGCTCTCTTTACTCTGCATATATTTCTGGTAGTTTTTGTGTGAAAGGTCGACTATGTACTTCAGGAATGTCATTCATTAGTTTGGTGATGTTTTCCCATATCCGTTTATCCCTGTGACAGATCCAGTAGATACCTTCTTTGTTTGCACTGTGTGTAGGTAATCCTGTACAACTCAGGTGAAATCCTATGTTAGAAATGTTACATACAGTCCCTACAACACTCTTCCGAAGTGGGTTAAAGCAGCCTCCACACACCTCCATGTTGGGTTTGTGGCGTAGAGGCTGTACGTTCAGCTTTGGGTGATTTATTGTAGATTTATCCCTTGTTGACTTTAGTAATTTTACTATTTATAATATTATATGAATATATTTATAATATTATATGTATGTATATATAATATGTATACAGTATATTTATAATATTATATATGTTTATTTCTTCAACTTTATGTGGAGGTACTTATCGCCTGGTGGAGAAAATTGGTGCTTGTGGGATGTGCAGTTGACCATTGTTGGCCCAGGTCGGGGACAGGATGCCACCCGTTGTCAGTTCCTTGATTTATAACACTGATGATTTGCCTGTATTATCCTAAGGGATTTTCTGCTTACTTTCCGGCTTGTAATGGTATTCACTTACTCTACTACTAATTCCTAAATCCACATTCCCGTATAACAATATATATTGCCAGTATACTGTCACTGAGGGAGTATACTGTCACTGAGGGAGTATACTGTCACTGAGGGAGTATACTGTCACTGAGGGAGTATACTGTCACTGAGGGAGTATACTATCCCTGAGGGACGTCCCTACACTGTGTAGGCCTCGTGACTCTGGTGTAAACACAGCCTAGTGATGCCTCCTCCTCCTCCTCCCACAATTTTACATTTCCAGTTTTTCTATTTGCAATTCTCCGACACTTTAGACTTATTTATGTGTCGTGTTAAACGTCCCACTTCACTGTTCAACGTATCACTGTTCGCTATATGTGATATATACGCCTATATGCCTATACGCATGAGCCGGGTGGCACAGGCTCCCACGTGGTCCCACGTTTATTCTTATTTAAAAAACTTAACATCATGTTGGGCTTCAGCTCTCGGGTCAGGCTCTAACACGACAGGTTTCCCATCGCTGTATTTTCCATATAACAAGATTCCTGGAAATACTCGTCTCTCGCATGGGAAGCAATGCGTGACGCATCCAATATGAGAATGCGTCGTAAAAATTATAACTGAAAATTCTGCGTGCAAATAATTATATGATGGTTGTTGTGGGTGATATTACACACTGCACAACCGTTCACGACACAAAAATTGGGGACAAATTGGTCAATATCGCTGTAAATTGTATTGTCGGAAACACCCATGAACATTAATGTTACACACACACACACACACACGCACACACACACACACACACACACACACACACACACACACACACACACACACACACACACACACACACACACACACACACACACACACACACACACACACACACACACACACACACACACACGCACACACACACACAGAGTTCACACACACACAGTGAAGAGCAGAGGTGCCATATGCACAATCAGAGAACACTGTGTAAACATCAGAGGTCCGCGGTTGTTCAACGTCCTCCCAGCGAGCATAAGAAATATTGCCGGAACAACCGCGGACATCTTCAAGAGGAAACTAGATTTATTCCTCCAAGGAGTGCCGGACCCACCGGGCTGTGGTGGGTATGTGGGCCTGCGGGCCGTTCCAAGCAACAGCCTAGTGGACCAAACTCTCACAAGTCAAGCCTGGCCTCGGGCCGGGCTTGGGGAGTAGAAGAACTCCCAGAACCCCATCAACCAGGTATCAACCAGGTAAAACACACACACACACACACACACACACACACACACACACACACACACACACACACACACACACACACACACACACACACACACACACACACACACACACACACACACACACACACACACACACACACACACACACACACACTTCTACCTTTCCTCTAGTACCCGTTCTCCAAGCTCATTTGCTTTATTTGTAATTCCATCTGTGTTAGTGTACATTGCTTTGAGGCTCACTTTCTTCTGGCGATTTGAGAAGGGACAGAAGAAAGTGAGCCTCAAAGCGATGTACACAAACATAGATGGAATTACAAATAAAGCAAATGAGCTTGGAGAACTGGTACTAGAGGAAAACCCAGACATAATAGCCCTCACAGAAACAAAGATCACGAAAACGATAACAAACGCAGTTTTCCCACAGGACTATTATGTTATGAGGAAAGAGAGAGAAGGAAGAGGTGGTGGTGGTGTAGCTCTGCTGGTAAGAAAAGGCTGGGATTTTGAGGAGATGGATATTCAGGGCTGTGAAGGTTTCAGTGACTACATAGCAGGTAATGTAACAAATGGAGGGGAAAAAAATTATAGTCGTAGTCATATATAACCCCCCACCGAATGCCAGAAGACCCAGACAGGAATATGATAGAAACAACTTGGCCACCATCAATATAATAGAGAGAGCAGCTTCTGTGGCTAGCAGGAACGGATCCAGACTTCTAATCATGGGAGACTTCAACCATGGGAAGATAGATTGGGGGAACAGAGACCCACATGGAGGCCCAGACACATGGAGAGCTAAGCTGCTGGATGTGGCAACAAGAAACTTTCTAAGTCAACACGTCAAGGGACCGACAAGAATGAGAGGAGAAGATGAACCAGCCTTGCTTGATCTGATATATACCCTAAATGAGTCGGATATAAGGGAAGTTAAGTTGGAAGCCTCCTTGGGAATGAGTGATCATAGTGTATTGAGCTTTGAGTACCTGGTCGAGCTAGGAATTATCACCCCCAAAAATGAACTGGGAAACAAAGGGCTGGCGTACCGAAAGGGAAACTATGAGGAAATGAATAAATTCCAATGGGATATACATTGGGACACAGAACTCGGAACTAAGTCCGTACAAGACATGATGGACTATGTCACCCAAAAATGTCAGGAGGCTGTAAGCAGGTTTGTCCCAGCCCGACAGGAAAAAACAGAGAAGCAAAGGAAGAATCCGTGGTTTAATAAGGAATGTATGAAAGCAAAGGAGCTGAACAAAAGGGCATGGAGGAACTTCCGTAATAACAGAACACCAGAAAGTAGAGAGAGATACCAGAGAACCAGGAACGAGTATGTCAGTGTGAGAAGAGCAGCTGAGAAAATGTATGAAAATGATATAGCTAATAAAGCCAAGACCGAACCAAAGCTACTACACAGTCACATCAGGAGGAAGACAACAGTGAAGGAACAGGTGATGAAACTTAGGGTGGGCGAGGACAGGTACACAGAGAATGACAAAGAGATGTGTGAAGAACTCAACAAAAGGTTCCAGGAGGTCTTTACAATAGAACAGGGAGAAGTCACGGTGCTAGGAGAGGTGGCAGCAAACCAGGTGACCTTGGAAAGGTTCCAAAATTACAAGAGATGAGGTCAAGAAGCACCTATTGGAGCTGGATGTGAGAAAAGCTGTGGGCCAGACGGAATCTCACCATGGGTATTGAAAGAGTGTGTAGGAGCCCGTTGCTTGCCACTCTCCATAGTGTATAGTAAGTCACTGGAAACGGGAGACCTACCAGAAATATGGAAGACTGCTAATGTAGTCCCAATATACAAAAAGGGTGACAGACAAGAGGCACTGAACTACAGGCCAGTGTCCTTAACTTGTATACCATGCAAGGTGATGGAGAAGATTGTGAGAAAAAACCAAGTAACACATCTGGAGAGAAGAGACTTCGTGACAACCCATCAACATGGGTTCAGGGAGGGTAAATCTTGCCTTACAGGATTGATAGAATTCTACGATCAGGTGACAAAGATTAAGCAAGAAAGAGAGGGCTGGGCGGACTGCATTTTCTTGGATTGTCGGAAAGCCTTTGACACAGTACCCCATAAAAGTTGATGCATAAGCTGGAGAAACAGGCAGGAGTAACTGGTAGGGCGTTCCAGTGGATAAGGGAGTACCTTAGCAATAGGAAGCAGAGAGTTACAGTGAGGGGTGAGACCTCAGACTGGCGTGAAGTCACCAGTGAAGTCCCACAAGGCTCTGTACTCGGACCTATCCTGTTTCTGATATACGTAAATGATCTCCCAGAGAGTACAGACTCATTCCTCTCAATGTTTGCTGATGACGCCAAAATTATGAGAAGGATTAAGACAGAGGAGGACAGCTTGAGGCTTCAAGAAGACTTGGACAAGCTGCAGGAATCGTCGAACAAATGGCTGTTAGAGTTTAACCCAAGCAAATGTAATGTAATGAAGATAGGAGTAGGAAGCAAGAGACCAGATACAAGGTATCATTTGGGAGATGAAATATTTCAAGAGTTAGAGAGAGAGAAAGACCTGGGGGTTGATATCACGCCAGACCTGTCCCCAGAAGCCCATATCAAGAGGATAACATCAGCGGCATATGCCAGGTTGGCTAACATAAGAACGGCATTTAGACACTTGTGCAAGGAATCATTCAGAACTTTGTATACTATCTATGTCAGACCAATCCTGGAGTATGCAACCCCAGCCTGGAGTCCATATCTAGTCACGCATAAGACTGAAGTGGAAAAAGTTTAAAGGTTTGCCACCAGACTAGTACCCGGGCTGAGAGGTATGAGCTACGAGGAGAGACTACGGGAATTAAACCTCACGTCGCTAGAAGACAGAAGAGTTAGGGGGATATGATCACCACGTACAAGATTCTCAGAGGAATTGACAGGGTTGATAAAGACAGGCTATTTAATACAAGGGGCACATGCACTAGGGGACACAGGTAGAAATTGAGTGCCCAAATGAGGCATTGAGATATTAGAAAGAACTTTTTTACTGTCAGAGTGGTTGACAAATGGAATGCATTAGCCAGTGATGTGGTGGAGGCTGACTCCATACACAGTTTCAATTGTAGATATGATAGAGCCTAATAGGCTCAGGAACCTGAGCCTATTAGGCTCAGCATGCATCAGTCGTGCCCCACAGCATGCATCAGTCGTGCCCCACAGCATGCATCAGTCGTGCCCCACAGCATGCATCAGTCGTGCCCCACAGCATGCATCAGTCGTGCCCCACAGCATGCATCAGTCGTGCCCCACAGCATGCATCAGTCGTGCCCCACAGCATGCATCAGTCGTGCCCCACAGCATGCATCAGTCGTGCCCCACAGCATGCATCAGTCGTGCCCCACAGCATGCATCAGTCGTGCCCCACAGCATGGTCTTCCTGGCAGCGAGTCCTTAGTGTAACTCGCTCAGTCAAGAAGGTACTCGTTAATATGACGTACAAACTCTGACGTTATATCGAAGCAACAACAACTACGAATCACACTTTGAGAATATAATAAATATGAATATTCTTTAAGCTGACAAGTGTATACTGAACGAAGTGTTACTCATAAATCTCAAATAAATAGATGAGAATACCAGCATATTTTTTTTATTGTACAGGAAAATGCTCTTGGTGTCTAACTTTAAAAATTAAAATTAATCTGACATAACCTCCAACTTACCAGTTGTTTTGTTTAAATGGTGAAGTGTTTGATGCATCAAGAAAATCCAACTTCTCCTTTACATTGTGAATTTTCTTTGTAGGAATCAGAGAACGCAGATAACTAAGCAATTAGTTTTTAATACTTAGAGAAACTACCTGATCTTTGCTACAATACTCTAGAGTTGCCAACTAATGTTTTTATTTAGTTAAAAAAAAAACATTAAATATAATTAGATTAATTGGATAAATGTCATAGGAAAATATTCAAAATAAATTAAATCATTGGGAAAAAAAGTTTGATGATTTTCTGGCAGCATTGTTAGCAGGAAAGTTAAAAACTAACATTTTACTTTAGGCTTATACACTTAGTTTGCCATTAGTTTTGATCCGATTTTAATAATTTTCACGCAACGCACAATGCAACAGGATTAACATTTTCATTTCGAAAATCAAAATTGGTCCGATCATGATTTTTTCTGTAAATAATCAGTTATTTTTTTATAACAAATAATAGAACCGAATGTGACAGAGGAGTAATGATAATATACATTATATAGGCCCAGTGTGTATGACTCAGGCGCCTGGAGACTGGCCCGTCTGACATACACATTCAAACATGCAATGAACATATTCCAATACAAGAAATAAGCGAGTATGACATAAAGAAGCAACCTGCATGGCCTTGTAAATGAAGAACAACGACCTGGCCTTACTGCCAATAAGCAAGTGACTTGGCCATGTAAACTTTATTTATTAATTTATATATATACAAGAAGGTACATTGGGTTTGTGAGAATACATTGGATAGTACAGTATTTACACTCTTGTAAAGCCACTAGTACTCGCAGCGTTTCGGGCAGGTCCTTAATCTAGCAGATAATTTTAAGTAGGTAAATTCTATCAGAATTGATAAATGATAAAGATACATTGCAAGAGAAAAATGAGATGAGAGAGCTTAGTAAGTATATTAAAGCACATTGTTATATTAAAGCTCTGATTACATTGACAGCTTGATTAGTAATTTAAACAATAAGCAAGCGACTTACAATCAATAAGCCTGCTACCAGGCCTTGTAATTGTAGAGCGAGCAGCCTGACTGCACAATCAATAAGCAAGCTACCTGCTTCTATAGTTAACTCACGATTAACGTGAGTTCGATTAACGCCTCAAACTCACGACCACTGGAATGCAAGACAGGAGTTCTACTAATCCAGCCCGTCCTCACAAACAAAGATCCAAGCTCGTTAATCCAGCCGCCAAACCCCCTATTTATGAATGAAAACGGTTTACACACGTCTCTCAACTGATGACGTCCGAACACTTCCGGAACAAGTGCTTCGCTCACGTTCTCTGTTACAACCACAATTCTACAAATGCTTCACCCACGTACTTCAAATACAGACAATCGCCAACAGAACCTAAACACCTAACCTAACCTACATCTAACTATATATAGAATTTGAATGTATAATAATATTTATTTATATGTGAGAACAAACAAATTTTTAATACACTGTATGTTCAAATTGATGAATGCGTCTGGGGAGGCCGGCCGCCGCTTTAAACAGCCTGGCGGCGTGAAGACGGGTTGACCGATCATACTACGAATGGCCACAATAAGAGAGGGTCCCAGAGAGACACCATTGGAATCTTTGAATACTTTGGGACCTTGACCGTCCCCCGGGCTTTGGGACCTTGACCGTCCCCCGGGCTTTGGGACCTTGACCGTCCCCCGGGCTTTGGGACCTTGACCGTCCCCCGGGGATCACCTTAGACCACCAGGTTCTGGTCATATACACCATGAGAGTTGAAAGTCCCAGTTGGGTCCCAGTGTTGTGTCTGGGACCCTCTGTTATCGTGGGTGTTCTTAGCTAGGTCGGTAGAGTTAATGTTTTCCACTCTGGTGGTCGTGGGTTTGAGGCTCCTGTGAAACTAGGGAATGAGATATATATTATATATATTATATATACCCCGCATGCATGCTAGGGGTACCCGGCGGTGCACGGGTCTGTTTGTCTATCTCACCTATCTCCACATTCATATATCTATCCATCTATCTCCCCTTTCCACCTGCTTCCTCTTCTCTCAGAAAAATACATTATTAAGAATCACTGAACAACCGTATGAGTGTAAGAAATTATTAAGAAAAAACTCCATATAAATCACACAGCATATTTCACAAATGTCTTCTTGGAAGACTGTCAAACCGCCTAGGTGGGTGTTCATAATTGTAAATATTTCTCAAAGCATTTAACTTGGGCCTACCCAGACTAGCCTATGTCAGTCCCGTTCCCCAGACCATCCCTCCTGCAAATTTGGATGCAGGTTGACCCCAGCATCTAGCCTCCAGGTTTAGACAAACAGACCGATAAAGATAACAGTGCATTAAGTACTTCAACTTGAGTATATCTGAAGCACTCTAATGTTGTCGATACAGGAATGTTATGTATACAAGATCAATAAACAAGATATATAGGGAGCCGGTCGGCCGAGCGGACAGCACGCTGGACTTGTGATCCTATAGTCCTGGGTTCGATCCCAGGCGCCGGCGAGAAACAATGGGCAGAGTTTCTTTCACCCTATGCCCCTGTTACCTAGCAGTAAAATAGTAACCTGGGTGTTAGTCAGCTGTCACGGGCTGCTTCCAGTGAGCAATGATGCCATCGTCCTCAGCCTCATGCTGTCCACCCACGTTCTAATTCCCGATAAAATTCACATAAAAAATTAAAAACCCACATGACTAAAACACAACACAGAAAGCTGCATTAATTCCCCGCAGCCTCACTCTGCCTTTGGTGCTCCAAATGCCCCAAACAAAATCATGCATTTTTCACGAGCTTCTATTGCAAAAAACAGTTAATATTGTAGGTTTATACAGAATTTTATGCGTTTCAGTTCCACGTAGATTTAGTTATATCCTATTAAGGATTTAACTGTATATTATTACTGGTCACTAATACTACCTCGCCTCATGTCAGTGTGGGGATTAATAATTCTGTGTTTCAGCCCGAGTTATCTCGGTCGGGTGCGTTCCGTTTCGGTATGTTCGAATGTGAGCTTTGTTGTTCGGTTATAACTCACGCACCAGCCCGTCCTCCAAACAAAGATCCAAAAGTGATTCCATGCACCCGCCAAACCCCCTGTTTATAAATGAAAAGCGGTTTATACACGACTCACAACTGCTGACGTTCGAACATATCCGGAACAAGTGCTTCACTGACGAATTTTGTTCGAATCACAACGCTATAAATGCTTCACCCTCGTACTACAAATACAAATAATCGCCAACAGAACCTAAACATCTAACCTAACCTATCCTATGCCTATATATGCACAATACGCTAATATATTATAATATTAATTTACACTTGAGAAAATTCCCGTTTTGAATGAACAGCATGTTAAAATTTATGAATGCGTGTGTGGGGTCGACCGCTGGATGTAATGGACTTGAGTCGTGGACGGGTTGCACGCACGCGTTACACACATGCATACATGTATAATGCGTTCATTACACAAGCACTGACTACACATGAACTCAAAATACATGCACATTCGTAACATTTTTGGCAATGGATATTCATAGGCTAATTCATCATTTCTCTTCACTTAAGCGTAGTTTCAGTGATATTTTTGGTAAATAAATATATCACTTACAAGTGCAATTGTTTAATGATGTGTCGTAGGAGCATGGAAGCTCTCTGTTCGGCAAGACGAATGATAGCAATGAACAGTGAACAAGCAACAGCCTGTTGGACCAAGCTCCTACAAGTCAAGCCTGGCCCCGGACCAGGCTTGGGGAGGAGAAGAGCTCCCAGAACCCAATCCAGGTACAATCCAGGTACAATGAGCACAAAGTTAATATTAAAAAAGGCACTCAGAAATTGGCATTTGTCAAGAACTTAAATAATTTTTTTTTAAACTCATAACCATTCCTGGCAGAGGTTGGATGTTAGGTGGAGTGTTTGTCTAGTGACTCTACACCTGTGCCTCTACACCAGTGCCTCTACACCTGTGCCTCTACACCTGTGCCTCTACACCAGTGCCTCTACACCTGTGCCTCTACACCAGTGCCTCTACACCTGTGCCTCTACACCTGTGCCTCTACACCTGTGCCTCTACACCTGTGCCTCTACACCTGTGCCTCTACACCTGTGCCTCCAAGGCCCGCAGTGTGACTGTCCTCTCATGTATCACATTGTTTATCACAATGGTCAGAACTGACAAAAACATTAGTAAACTTTGTGTCACGTAATGTGTTCGTTTGCTGACCCGCGGCCACCATGGCTGAAGTGAGTGGTGCGGCCTCCTACGCTTCTGGCCAGGCAAAACCTCCATATTTTGTCCGGGGTGTCGAACTGTGAGAAGCCGCTGAACACTGTGCTGAGCACTATGCTCAGCACTGATGTGAGCACTGAGATGAGCACTGAGTTGAGCACTGAGCTGAGCACTGTGCTGAGCAGCTGAGCAGCTAAGCACTGTGCTGAGCAGCTGAGCACCGAGCCAGAGAGCACGACTGGTGCTCTCTACAACTACCCACATACGAGGCTGCTCTTCTACTCTCTAATACCAGGAAACTGATGAAAAGCCACAGGAACCGTAATAAAGTTTCGAACCAATGGCCTGGGTTTTCCCAGACGCACACTCCTGACGACTAACCCATGACCACGTCATGGCGTAGTCGTCTACAGTGTGCATCTGAGAACACCCTGTGCATAGGTTCGAATCCTCACCACGGTTACTGTGGATTTT